CACTTCTGGACCTCTCTCCACAGTAAAATCTTTCAACTACTAAGTGCCTCCCGGCAAGGATCACTTCTTCCTGCCTTCTAATCCTTCTTAGGAGCCCTTTTCCACTTATTTTTAGCCAGGGACAACTACAATAAAAAGCAGTGAGCATCTCATTTAATCACCACACCAACCCACAGCTGTGGAATTGCTAGCATCAGAAGTCCAGGCTGATCATATATGGGTCTATTTTTCCTAGATGCACACCAGGACAAAACAACGTAAGAGATTTCAGCGCATGTGAATCTGAGGGGACTAGTTCATTTTTTATGGGTCATTTCTACTGTGACAGGGCATTCCAATTCCCTCCTAAAGAGCATCTATGCCTAAATCAAGGCTTGTGACATTTTTGCATCTGGGATAAATCCTTCATCGTCCTGCTCCCCCATCTCGTTTACTAGGTTCACATACAAAACATCACTTCCAGTTTCATCAGCCTAGAACAGAGCATCCAAACCCCTTGTGCAATCTGAGTCCCATAGGCACAGACATGACGATTTATCTATTTAGAGCCCAAAGACTTCACTTTGCCAGATTGCGCTGCTAGTGTGTTGAGGTATAGGGCTGTCTGTAATCCATGATTGGTTCCCTACTGACAAAAATTGATCCAAACAAGATTTTACCATTATAATCTTCCAGGTTTTTAATGGAGCCACCTGACTGCAATTCTTGCAGGTCTGGGCTGCTGCTTTCCTATTAAAAAGCACTCCTATTTGAAGCTGGAGCGAGGGGAAGGGGGCTGTATGCAGTAGAGAGAAGACTGTCCCAATCTGGTCTAACCCTGCAAGATCTCTCTCTAAACAAACACAAGCTTGTTGTAAGGAATCCAACTGCCCACTCCTATGTGCTGCTAAGCTTCAAGCGTTTGCCTAGTGACTAATCACTATTTCTAGCTCTGGGACACCCAACAGCACTCCTCAGGTGCAGAGCCCATGTCTGATACCTTTCTTGGCTGTGGAGATCCCAGAATCCAGAGCCCAGAACTAGTTGCACCCTTTAGAGATAAACACAGTGTTTTAAAAATAACTTCTGTTTTTAAAAAGTGAAGGTATGCGTGTATAAGAAAAGTTGTAGATTTATAAAAACAAAAACCAAACATCTGCTCTCCCTCAGTTTCCTCAGCAGTCCTAAGAATCTTTTGGGTCACAGTCTGTCCAAGTTTGGGCTAGGTGAAAATTTCCTTATCTCCCTACAGCAAGAGCTTGCTTACTGGTGCTGCTTGTCCCAGTGTATATACAATCCTTTGACCCAGTCTTGGTGCTGAGATCAAGTACAGAACACCATTGTTTCTTGGGAGTGAGCAGTAGATAAAAATCATTAGTAAATCCACAAATCCTTAAAGAGAAGTTTAGATTATGCTTCCTTTCTTATATTTGCAAAAGGTGTGAACACACCTCCAAACAGGCGAGTTATACATCAGCTCAAACTGTTTCTCAGCACAGGACAAAGTTCTGATACATAATGGGGATTCTCTTCAGGTTACAATTAGAGTTTATCAAATCAAATGGAATTCATAAGTTTTCGCAGGCATATTTCCCATTTCACACACTTTGCCCATGTTTTTAAAGCACCATCTCAGAATGGAAAGAGCTTACTGCAGTTCATGCAGTGAGCTAATGTGACAGGCTCATTAGGCCATGAACACAGGTCCCATATCGCAGCAGGTGAAGCCAAAGCCCATTCTCTTCTCCACCCTCATCACCATGTAAAAAGCAGGAAAAAAAGCAGCAACACGAAATAACAGAAAAATGACGTTCAATTTTATTTGCATAAGCTCTCTCTTTAAAGCCTCCATTTTTGGTCATATATACATTTTATGCTAACCTGCCACATTTTTTCCATTAAAAGGATGGAAGCAAGCAAGCCAGATAAATGGAAAATGGTCAAAAGTTATGCAGAGAAAGCTTTAAATGCTTTTTTGAAATTATAGAAACCTTAATACAACTGTCAGATGAAAATACATGCAACAATTGCTATTTTGAGTGCTATCCCATACATGAGATCCCACACCAGTCCTCTCACTATGGGGGTGGGGACCTGGTCTCTAAGCAACACTGAGAAACTAAGGTACTCAATGAGTCACCACCAAAAATATTTCTGTATGTTTTAACATTCAAATGTATCTTAAAACATTTTACAAGGTTTAAATAGCAGAAAAAGAAGTTACAGAAAAGGAGGAAATATACTTCTAAAACTTTAAAATTCTATATCAAGAAAAAAAAGTTTCTACTGTTGAACCAAAGTATCAATCTCTTGGAAAAACAAATCTAAAGTTATTTCCACAAAACTGCATATCAGGAAAACTGATGTTTTCTAATGTCTGAATCTATTGGAGACACTCAAATCCCAGATGGGAGCTTTAACAAGGTGCACCTAGTAAGTTATAACACAGAAGATTATAAAAAAATACCTTTTCTCTTGCTGGTTTTACTTCCTGGAAAACATGATGTAAACAGGATTCCCCCCTTCCACGAATACAGAAAGCTCAAGGCAGATTTTCCCGTCATGAGTGAAAGAGCTCATTGCGTTTCCCCATAGAAACAAACACTCTAACAAAGGCCCCTCCTGGTAACATGATGCTTGAGGACAGACAGACCTGGAACGATACTACAGGGAGGCTATTTTCATGCGAAGGAATCACGCGAACAAGGCACTAAACCCTCCAACGCTGTAGGCAGAACCTAGGCAACTCCTCCAAGTGAAGTTTCTTCAGTAATCCACACTGGGAACTTAGCACTATAGATATGAGAGAGCAGGAAACAGATTTTGTCCGATCTGTTCCAGTTTACGGCCTGTCGCACTCGCAAGAATCTTTAGAAAGTCTCCCTAAAATGGTTTCCCAAACTCTTCCGGCTTCTGCCTAGCAAACGAAGCGCTGCTGCTGCAGACGTCTTCCCTTCCCTCGGCTGTTGAGCTAAGGAGCACCCATGAGAAGGATCTGGCTACGGACGCGCTGCCACCAGCTCTGCGCAGCTTCAGCCAAACCAGGGAGAGGAGGCTGCAAAGCCCGAGTAACAGGCAGAAAGGAGAACTTCTGAGCACCGTACGCTGTCTCCTGTTGAAAAGCCATTTGCTGCCAAAAGATTGGCTGTCTCACTGTTCTGTTTGAGCTTCTCTTACCACCAGCCTGGGCGCACGGAAAAAGGAGGAGGCGGAGAAAGCAGACGGCAGCTCCTGCGTGCTGCCTTTCCTTCCCTCCCCCAGGCCCAGGGAGCCACCCTGGCATATCGACCTCATGTGATCAGCCGAGATGGCTGTGCCGTCAGCAAAACACATTCCGAAACGCCGGGAAAGAATGGGTGGTGCCCCACCTACCTACAACGCGCTAGAAACTCGCTCGCTGCTACTTTTAGAAGCTACTTCAACTGCCCCGTATAAAATACGCTGCGGAATTTTAACTGATTAAAGCTGTTTCCAACAGCTGATAACTGAATTTCTTGCTTTTCCTGTACATGAGTATTCTGAGTAG